TTTTTTTTGTTTCTTTTTTTTTTTTGCAAACTGTGATTGTTTTTTTTGGGAAAGTGGGTTAAGGAGGGATGATTGGGGACCGAATGAGAGGTTAGTGGAGAGAAACGAGGGAGATTGTTTCTCTTTCTTTTAATCTCAAAACAAGGAGACATAATCAATCCCAAAATGGCGGACTACTTCTCCCCAAGAAACAAAGGAAAAGAAAAAGGCAAGTTTTGTATGTTTTACTTATCTTTATAACTATCATTTCCAAACTTCAAAGGAACACAATTGTTTTACATATCTTTGAGAGCTACTTCGGCTTCATGAATGGCTCGACACGAGGGGAGCAACGGAGCGGTTTCGATGAGCACGGCGGCTGTTGCAATGGCATTGCTGCTGCAACTTTTGTTGTTGGCGACTCGAACGGATGGAACTTGGGCACGGAAGGATGGCCTAATGGGAAGGTGTTTAGAGCCGGTGACATATTAAGTGAGTTTTCAACTCTCGTTTTGATAGTTGAATAGTAACTGATGTTTTACTTGCATAATCGTATTTGTTAAGAATGATGCTTTGATACTATGTTAAGAATGAAAAACAGAAATGGGATCGGAAGTCTGAGAAAAGAGAAAATATTCTACTAACAAAATCCTAAAGATAAGATAAATTATATCAAAACACAAGTCCGGTAGCAGATTTGTTTTAAAGTCTTGAGGGGAAACTAGGAAGGGAAAGCCCAAAGAGGATCTGGGTCGTTACATTACGGCTATATAAAATATATTCAAATAGTATCCAATCGAATTCGCAGTTACATCGTTAATAATAAACGAAACGAATACATACATTTTTTTTTTTTTTGTAAGATTCAACTATAACTCGACAGTTCATAACATGGTGGCAATGGACGAGGGGGGTTATAGAAGCTGCATAGCTCCAAGAGGCGCCAAAGTGTTCAATTCAGGCAAGGATGAAATCATGGTCTCAAGAGGACACAACTTCTTCATATGCACCACCCCAAGCCATTGCCAAGCTGGGATGAAAATTGCTATCAATTCCTTCTAGTTCTCGACCACCCCGTCTTGTTTACACGTCGATCTCGATGTAAATGTTCTAAATCGTAATTTTATAAAGATACCGATATAACGATGATTTGAAAATATTGTGAAAATAAAATAATTTGATAATAATTAAACGGAGTTATATGTATCTTATTATTATTATTATTTTCTCTTTGTTTATTTATTTAATTTTTATAAATATGCTTAAATTAAATTTATAATGGATAACAATGTATTGAAAATAATTAAGATAATAATGTTAATGCACTAAATTGTTCTATTTTTATAAATTAATATAAATAAAAAATGGGGTATATTTGTTTAAAACAATATTTATTAAAACTATTATTTATAATAAAATAAGTTCAATTTGTTTAATGTATATAAGTATTTAGTTTTTGATAGTGAAGATTGAAATTTAAAATAAAAATATTATTTAATAATTTAAAATTAATTAATTTAATACTTATAATTGATAATAATTTGTTCATTAATTAGTACTTTAATCAACGTTCACATCTCACACATATAGAAAGAAAGATAATAATATTATTTATTGTGATATATATAAATATAAATAATGGATTGATTAGGAATCTTGTTGTTTTAGAATAAGTGATATAGTTGGTAAGCTTTTTTTCTTTTTCTATTTTTAATATTCATATATCGCATTATTAAACTATGATTGACATTTTTTATAATTATTTAAATATATATTTATTGACATTAATTAGAGTTGTGTCTTAGTAAAATCACCGTCATAATGCATCATGACATTTAAAACATGCATTTAATCTTAATATGGAATAATGTCGTATTAAGAAATTTCATAATCTTACATTTTACATCATCATGTTGTCATGCATCATCGTCATCATATGACATCATCATGTCACAACATCATAGAATATCATATAATATCATATGACATTATCATATAACTCAATCACATCATCATACGTCATATATCATATATCATCATCATATAATATAGTCACAACATCATAAATATAAAACATAAATGACATGTGCAAGGGCCATGAGACATGTGTCGTCATACATAAAACAAATCGTCCAACCTATCCAACAGTAAGAACACTTACTTGGTTGGTCTTAGCTGCCGTTTCGTTAAATTTGAGTACGCTTGTCTTTCGTCCCTCGAAGTTTCTCCAAGCATCGCGGGAGTCGTTTCCTATTATGAGGTCCATCTCGTTTCGTTAGTATTCTGCATTTCTAATCTATTTAACTTGAATTTGGGAAATAGAGCATTATAATGACTTCAGTTAACTTAATTAGGGTCAAAATCAACTCCGAAAGGATAAAAAAAAAAAAAAAAATGTAAGAATTGATGTAAAAATTGCCAACCCAAACCGAATAAGTCATTTTTTAGCCAAGGGACTGCGCGAAGCTGAGTCGAGCTACTAGAGCCAGCGTCTACAACAGTGATACGTGTCATCGAGGGGGTGCTTACACGTGTGAGTGTACGTACCTTACTGTGGGTGTGCTTGGACCATGGGTCTCGTTTTCGTTGTACGTATCAATCGTTCTCCTGTTCACGCCGGCAGTGAATTTCGAATGGGAAGAAAGAAATCTTTCGCATTCAGTTCTCTCTCCGTCTCTCACATTTCACTCTCTTGCAAGTCTATTCTTAGATGTGTGTGGCTGAATGAAGCGTGTACTGAGGAGTCGTGGGTGAGGCAAGCATCTCGGGGCTTCTCGAGGATTTCGGTGACTGCACAATTATTTTATTTTTTTTTATAAATTTCTGGTCGTTGCAATTTAAATTTAACTAATGTGAACTTGCGAAGTATTTATGGGAACGAAACATAAATATTTTTCATTTATATGAAATTTTAAAATCATTACGATGGAACACTAAAAGACGCTATCTAATTTTCATATTGAGCCTACAAAACCGAACCTAAACCTCGGCAATACAACCCCTACAAAGCCCAAATCCAAGGGATACGTATATCAGCCTGCTTTAGAGTCAATGTGCAAGTACATGGTCATGTATAAAGATGTCGTAGTGAAGTTTAATGGTAGGTCTCAAACACAATTACATGTGATTGTATTTCTACAATGAAGTCACTTGGAATATTTCTTAAAATACTTAAGCCACATGCTGTTCTGCACTGGATGACGATGTTGATGAACATGAGACTGAAAATAGGGTTTATTTTATCAAAGTTTCACGTGATTTGTTTTTCGCTAGGATTATTTTAACGATTTTATAAGTTAATGGTATTAAAGATTTTTCTGCATTTCTTAATTAAGTCATGCATGTAGTAGCGACTCTATTGTAGAAAAAATAGGATCGTTACACATTTGATAACCATTTGGTAATCATCTGAATTTTGGTTTTTTAAAGCATAGATAAGAAGTATATGTATCAACTCGATTTTTAAGGTTTCGAATCATGGATCGACATATGGGCTGACAACGAAAAAATACGATAAAATTTTGCACAAATTTTAAAATCAAACATAAATTGAAATAAAGATAGACAAACAACATCTCAATTAAATAAAAACTAAAATCACATTAAAATCTTCAAATTTATTACCAATGAAAAAATGGGTTTGGGATACAATTACAAATCAAAATAAAAATGACTCAAAATATATAAAGGAACTAACGCTCTAGAATGACCCCCTCTATGACCATGCAACTCTTGAACACTTTTCCACCTCCATTGACAACTTGCGATGTAACAGCCCAATCACATCATTAGCCGATATTGTCCTCTTTGGGTTTTTCCATTTCGGTCTTCCCCTCAAGGCTCTAAAACTTGTCTGCCATGAAAAGGTTTTCACACCCTTATAAGGGTGTTTTGTTCTCCTCCCCGACCAATGTGAGACATCGCAATCCACCCCCTTTGGGGTCTAGCGTCCTCGCTGACACTCGTTCCTTTCTCCAATCAATGTGGAACCCCCACCGAATCGACCCCTTTTGGGGCCCAACGTCCTTACTGGCATACCACCTCTTGTCTACCCCCCTTTGAGGAACAGCGAGAAGGCTGACACATCGTCCCTACCAAATTCACTCCCTTTGGGGCCCAACGTCCTTACTAGCACACCGCCTCATGTCTACCCCCTTCGTGGAAGAGCGAGAAGGCTGACACATCGTCCCCACCAAATCCACCCCCTTTGGGGCCCAACGTTCTTACTCGCACATCGCCTAGTGTCTACCCCTTTTGGGGAAGAGCGAGAAGGCTGACACATCATCCCCACCAAATCCACCCCCTTTGGGGCCCAATGTTCTTACTCGTACACCGCCTCATGTCTACCCCCTTCGGGGAAGAGCGAGAAGGCTGACATATCGTCTAGTGTCTGGCTCTGATACCATTTGTAACAGCCCAAGCACACTGCTACCAGATATTGTCCTCTTTGGGCTTTCTCTTTTGGGCTTCCATCAAGGGTTTAAAACGCGTCTCCTAGAGAAGGTTTCCACACCTTATAAGAGGTGTTTTGTTGTCCTTCCCAACCAACGTGGGACATCACATGCGAACACCTAAAAAAGAAAGGGACAAGGGATGAGTATTAAAATATTCAGTAAACAACCTACTCATAGATCTCATTACATCCTTAACCTAGTAGATATCAACGCCAATGCTACAAGTCACAGGTCTGTTTAAGGAAATTCTCGTCCCGATCCTCATAAAAATAAATGAAAAATTTCGTGGACATAGAGAATGAAAAATAGGGTAGGGACGAGGATGAAGAAGGCTTCTCCGTCCAGCCTTGGGTGCATCTCTATCTACCCATCTAGTTATCCAAAATAAAAAAATATATGACATAAACTTCAATGTAATATATTATATATATTTTAAAAATTGTTATGCCAAATGAAAAAGAAAAAAAAAAAATCTTAATCTTATTAATTTAATCAAAGTGTGATTAAAAAAGGGTTTAGTTTACTTTTTAAAATTACCATAATATTTGAAACTGATTATTTTGTTATTTAGAGCATAAACTGATTGAAAAAGTAATTGCGCATCGATCGTCATTGTCTTTCGAAACCCTTCCAATCAATCGAAGGAACCAAAGGAAAACTTTCATAGAATCGTAGCGCCGCGACGAATTTTCCGATGAATCGCCGGCAGTGCGTGAGAGCCATTTCGGACACAGAGAGTGAGTCCGATCAAGAAACGATGAAGTGCTTATCGTGTCTGGAGGATTACCGGTCACGCGACGCCGGAACCTGCAAGGAGTGCTACGATGAAGCCAATGAGACTGAGGAAGAGCTCAAGCGTGAGATTGAAGACTTGAAAGCGAAGGTCGCTTTCCTCAGGTTTTGGTCCCCTCTTGATCATCTTCACAGTAGGTCGAATGCACCTTGCTTTACGGATATCGTTTTGATCGCCACCGGCGATGGGCCCGAGGGATATTCTGTGCCCCTTCCGGCTCATAAAGCTGTCTTGGTTAGTACGATTTTTTAAGTTTCACTTGGTTATTCTCTGATATTACACTATTTTGTGGTTTTCTTTTGATTCCGGTCTGGTTTGTGTATGAGTTTGAGTTGTGTAGCAGTAAATGGCCACTTGTTATTTAGAATCAAGTGGCTGTTCTATTTTGGCAACGAAACGTTAAAAGATTAAGATGTTCCACTGCCAAAGTCATAAACATTGGTGCCATACGCTTGGAATTTATGGTCCAATTATGTGAAAGATCTTACGAACCAAAAGCATTTGTAAGTTCTGAAACCACAATGTTGGTTAATATATATTTGGAAATGGGGGTAGTGAAGATGGAGAGAGTATAAGCTATCTTGATTCTTGAATTACCTTTTTATGAGTCGTTGATTTGAGTCTGATGTTTAAGCCGTGAATCTGAGATCTGTAGGCATAAGCTTCTTGTTATTTGGTAAACGTGGTTTGGCCAGTGCAGGTTGTTTTTAACTTTTTTTATTCAAATGGGGTTTGCCCCCTTGCAAGTCATTTGGTTTGTCTTTCCTGTTATCTAATATTCTCTATAGTTCATATACTCTATTACTATCATTATTAATTTTAGTTTCATTACTTGCCATTCTCCATTTTTGTTATTCCTTTTTCTACTCAATTTTATCCCTAGCTATAAGATGAAAAGGATTTCAAGCCTTCCGTTCGATGAAGTTCATGTAGTTTCTGTCATTCGTCTACTGATAGTATTTTGGTAACCAAGTATGATTTGAATTTACAAGAAAGAGAAGTCCACTAAGTCTTAAATTGTGCATGGATTTTTTAGTACATATATTCTGAGAGCAAGTGGAAGGGATAAACATTTGCAAGAGTTAGTTGAATGCTTCTGCTAGGTTATCCTATGATTTATTTTGATCGCTATCTTGGTTCATTGGTTACAATTTTACAGCATGGGAGATTGTGGCCGGGGATAAACATTTGCAAGAGTTTAGTTGAATACTTCTGCTAGGTTATCCTACGATCTCTTTAGATTGCTAATGAGGTTGTGGGTTAGCTTAGATGTTGAAGCAATGGACATTTCCCTTAAAAAGAGATGGAAATAAAGGGATCTGAGCACTTGGTTCATTGGTTAAAAATTTTATGGTATGGGAGGTAGTGGCCAGTGGCGTTGGTGATGGAAATCTAAGGAGAAGATTGTGCCCCTAATGTTAAATGCCTTTGGGCATTTTCTAAGAAGTCTTTTTTGTTTAAAATTTCTTGTAAGTGTGGGTATGATTGTTATAGATGGAGCATTTGAGTGTTGGAGAGAGCTTGAAATTGAAGCTCTTGGATCTTTAACTCTAGAACAGTTTATCAATGCAAGCCATCGGTGATCTAAACGTAGGTAATGGTGAAAGTACATGCCTTGGAACGACACTTGGTTGAAGGATCCTTTGCTGATTTTTCAATTATAGTGTATGAAGCATATTCTGTGGGGTTGTTAGTTTCAGGTTTAATTTAGGACAACTTTAAGGCTTTTGAGTGTGGTTGGTTCATGTTATGAGGGAGGAGGTGGCTTTTCCCCCTTCATTTTGAGGTAAGAATGGTACCTTTAGCACGTTTTTTTTTTGTTTTGGTCTTGTCGAAGATCTGGCTTGTGAGGAATAAGAGAGTTTTCAGAGGTTTGGGGATGTATTGAGGAGAGTGTCGAGAGCCTTGATCAGAAATGTCTTTTGGTTTCTGTAACCAAGGGTTTTTGTGATTTTCCTTTATACCTGATTCTCAATGTCAATAGTTTGAGTAATTTCTTTTCTAACTTTGTGTGTCTGTATACGGCTTAAATGAAAGCTTAGTTTCTCAATAAAAATCTGTGTTCAAAAGCTTGAAACTTGTGATGATACCATTGAGTACATGATACATTTTTATTTTTGGAGTAGGCTTATGAAGGTGGATGTATGCACCTTGTTAATAATGTTTGTTAGGGAGCTTGTTTGCAGCCCTATTTTTGGAGGAGGCTTGAGTGTTGGTTCATGTTAAAAAGAAAAATAGTTATCAAGATTGGCTTTTGATTTTTTTTTTTTT